AAATGTAGTACAATCTATAAAAATATTGAATCACTATGTTGTACACCTGAAACTAATATAATACTGTAAATCAACTATATTTCAATTTAAAAAAGGAAGAAGTGCACAGGTGTAACAGTTTTACACTAGTCAAGTGGTATAATATCGTTCAAAGGGGGACTGCAATAACTTAAAGATGCCTATTTTAAACAGCCGCTGAAATAATAAAACAAAGAAGTAGCACTAATAAGTCAACTGTGGAAAAGATTTAATATTTTTTAAATGTTCAATTTTTTTTGTAAAGGCTGGAAGAGAAGAAAAAATAGATGAGTAAATAAAAAACAGAAAGCAAGGTAGTATATCTAGATCCACCCTTACCAATAATTAACTTTCTGCAATGATGGAAATGTTTTGATATCTGCACTCTCCAAGACAGCAGCCACTAGCCACATGTGCTATTCAACACTTGAAATTAGGCTAGTGGAACTGGGAATCTAAAGTTTTAATTTTATTTAACTTTAATTAATTTTAACTGAAATATAAATAGCCATATGAGGCTAGCAGCTACTATATTATACAGTGTATGTCTAAATATTCCGAGTAAAAATAGATATTTTCAGACTAGATTGAATGGGAAGACCCAAAATATATACTGTCTAAAAAAGTCCAATATAAATATCAAGACACAGGTAGATGAGAAGTAAAAGGATGGAAAAAGACAAACCGTGAAAACACTAATCTTAAAGAAGTGGGAGTGACTATATTAATATCAGAAAACAGAAGACTTTAGAACAAAGAACATTACCAGGGATAAAGAGGGCCATTTCACAATCATAAAACAGCCAATTCATCAGGAAGACAAAATAATCATAAATGTGTATGTGCCTAATAAAAATGTTTCAAAAATACATAAAGCACAAAATTACAGAAGTAAAAAGAAAAATCAGACATATCCACAATTATATTTGGAGATTTCGACACTCCTCTCTCAGTATTGATAAAATAATACACAGAGAACCAGCAGAGATACAGAAGATTTACAAAGCACTATCAACCAACTTGATCTAATTGACATTCATAGAACACTCCGCCCAACTAGAATAGACATTCTTTTAAAGCATACGTGAAACATGAACCAAGAATGACCATATTGTGGGCCATAAAACAAGTCTCAGTTTGATTTAAAAACTGAAATCAGACATAACTGTTTGAGTTTTGAAAAGAACATATTTAAATTAGACATTAATAACAGGAAGATAGCAGGAAAACTCCCAAATTTTTAGAAATTAAGCTAAAGACTTCTAAATAACTCATGGGTCAAAAAATAAATCAAAAAGGACATTAGCATATACTTTAAACAAAAATGAAAACTCACATATCAAAATTTGTGGGATGCAGCTAAAGCAGGGCTTAAAGGAAAATTTATAGCTTTAAACGTTTATATTAGAAAAGGTCTAATATTGATCTCATCTTCTACCTTAGAAAGCTAGAAATATAAGAGCAAATTAAACTCATATAAGTAAAAGAAAGGAAATAATAAAGATTTTGAAAGTGTAAATCAATAAAATAGAAAAAAGATAAAATACAGAAAACAATGAACCAAAAGTTGGTTCTTTGAAAACAGCAATAAAATTGACAAACCTTTAGCTAGATTAATCAAGGGAAAAAAAAGAAAACACAGCTTTCTAGCATATGGATAAAACGGAATATCACTACATATCCTCCAGACAAGAGAAGGACAGTAGGGAGTAGGTTGTTTTGTTTTGTTTTGTTTTTTTCTGGGCCATTGCAGCGTGACATGTGGGAACTTCTTTTCCTGACCAGGGATCAAACCCGCACCCCCTGCAGTGTAAGGGAAGAGTCTTAACCACTGGACTGCCAGGGAAGTCCCTAGGGAGTAGCATTTTTCAAACTCTATGCTGATAAACTCAACAGCTTAGATTAAATGGACAAATTTATTGAAAGGAATTCAAGGTTGTTATAACATTTAAAAACAAATCAGTGTAATTAATCATATTCTAAAATAAAGGAATTAAATCATATGAGCATCTCTATACATGCAAAAAAAACAAACCTGACAAAATTCAGTAACCATTCATGATTAAAAAAAAAACTCTCAGCTAATTCAGAGCAAAGACGAATTGCCTCAACCTGATAAATTTATGAAAATGTATTAAGAATACGATAAAACTTACAGCTAACATTATGCCTGAAAGACTGAAAGCTTTCCCCATAAAACTGGGAATAAAGAAAGGATATTCACCTACACCACTTCTTTTTAACATTCTACTAGAGGTACTTTGTCTAACAACTAGAAATATGAGGCATGCAGATTAAGGAAGGAAGAAGTAAAACTCTTTTTATTCACAGATGACACGATTGTGTATATAAAAATTCCTAAGGAATCAACAAAAAAGATGCTGGAATTAAAAAGTGAATTTAGCAAGATCACAGGATTAAAAGTCAATACAAAAAAACTGTTATTTCTATGTGCAAGGCCTGTGCACTGAAAACTAACAGCACTGTGGAGAGAAATTAAAGAAGAGCTAAAGAATGGAGGAACACACCATGTTCATATAAAAATAAAATCCCCTAAGGAAAAGTAAAAATAAGAGGAATCCCTGTGTAAGGAACTTAGAAAATGGGCCCAGTGTGGCTAACAGGGACTCAAAATAAAACGGAGCCAGGCAGTCATGACAGACCGGATTCAGTCACGTACTCTGTGTTCTCATTAAAACCAAGAACAGAAAACTATGACTTCTGATTCTGCTAAAGGTTCTACCTGGAAACGTCCCCAACTAGAAGCTCTGATGACCAAGCCAATCATCAAAAACTATAGTCAAGTTTCAAGGACTTGTGGTCAGGCTGCAGGGGCCAGCCAATCCTCTTTGCAAGTCTCCCAACTGTGACTTCTACAGTTTGTTTTTAAAAACCCCTCTCTCTTTACCCCCTACACCCAAAGGTACTTTAGGTTACAGCCAAAGGCTGCATATCTATCCCTGTTTGCAAACCTTGCAAGCAATAAAGCTGTCCTTTCGCTTTAAGATAATCCTGACTATTTTCTGGGATTTATTTCTAATTTAGGACAACATTTTTACATTGAAGACAACACTGTTAAGATGTCATAGGGACTTCGCTGGTGGTACAGTGGTAAAGAATCTGCCTTACAATGCAGGGGACGCAAGTTCAATCCCTGGTCAGGGAACAAAGATCCCACATGCCACAGGGTAACTAAGCCCGAGTTCCACAACTACTGAGCTTGCACGCCTCAACTAGAGCCTGAGTGCCACACACTACGGAGCCCATGCGTCCTGGAACCTGCACCCCACAACTACAGAGCCCATGCGCCCTGAAGCCTGTGCGCCACAACCAGAGAGAGAAAACCTGCAGACCACAACTAGAGAGAAGCCCGCACGCTGCAACGAAAGATCCCGCATGCCTCAACAAAGATCCCACGTGCTGCAACTAAAACCCGACGCAGCCAAAAATAAATAAAAAATAAATAAATCTCAAAAAAAAAAGTCATATATCCTCAGATGGATCTCTAGATTTAGTGCAATCCCAAGGAACATCCCAGCAGGCTTTTCTTGGTAGAAACTGACAACCTGATTCTAAAATTTATATTGAAATGCATATAAAATGCAAAGATCCTAAAAGAACCAAAACAATCTTGATAAAGAAAAACAACGCTGAAGTAGTTACAAGACTTGACTTGAAGACTGACTAGAAGGGCTACCGCGATTAAGACAGTGCAGTACTGGCACAAGGATAGACATAAGAATCAATGAAAGAGAAGAGAATCCAGAAACAGACCCACATATAATTCCCTGGGCCATACTGACTGGTAATGGGAAGAACTCTACCAAGTGACAGAAACGTTTAATATCTTAATTGTAGTCATTATCTGGTATAAACATTTGTTGAAACTCGTTGACGCTTGTACATTTTACTGCGCACTTAAAATGGATGCCTTTTACTACATATAAATCATACCTAAATAAAGGTGATTTTAACACATATTTAGAAACAATCCCCAAAACTTATCTTGGTTCCTAATATGAATCTAGCCTAGAAGGAAACTAAGATTTATTAAGGCCCTGTAACGTGCCAGACACTGCACTCTGTACATTTAATTCTCACAACCATCTCCTAAGGCAGAAACTACTCACCAGGGTTTCACATCTGAAGAAATGTTGAGCGTTTGCAATCTCACCCACCTAATAAGTGGAGAGCTAAGAGTCAAGCCTAAGTTTATCTCTAATGCCCATGTTGCTACCACCACCATCCTCTTATTATGTCTTCCCTATGGAAACTTTTTCACCAAAGCTACTACTATCCACTAAAACCATTTTTTAAGCCTAACTTTTTTTTTAACTTTCCAAGGCAAATCAACTCGAAAATAGAGAATAAGAACGATCATAAGCCTAGATAATCCATAAACTGATGGCTAAATCCAGAACAATGACAAGTGCACCCCATGCACTAAATACGTCAAACTACAGTATAAAAAATAGGTACATACTAGACTTACGAAGAGAAGTACAAGCACATTTCAATATATGAGTCTTCCCACCATCACACAGCAAGTTAAGTGATAAAACTGTCTGCAATACTCTTCAGTTGTAGAATTCTCCCAGTGGAATTTTTAAACTTTAAAATTCTATGCCAAGGACTACTTGGTTGAACCACCTATCTCCTATCCTGCTAAAAATGAAAAATCTGAAATTTAACATCTAAAAGTGCCGGGCACAATATATAGTAATCAAAATCTTTATTCCTATGACTGTTACAAAAGGCATAAAAGTATCCAAGAGGGAGGTGGTAGAAAATATAGGAACCTTGTAAAAACTATTCAATATTTAAGAGGGAGGTCATGGAAAAGACCATGCTAAAACTTCAAGATAGAGGAGCTAAAGGTGAGAAATAAATAATAAATGTGTACTTATCTTTGGTGTTAAAATAATACTACATTATATAAAAAAACCACATTTTTGTAACTCAGAGAAACAATACATACTTACAGTTATGTGAACACTGAGGAATCATCATTGCAATGTTGAAATATTCAAAGCAAATTCCACAGCGCAGCAAATCATCTATTGTCTGAAATGCATAAATACATACACACCTATCAGAAAGCCACCAAGACTGGAACATCTGCCACAGAACTCCTTCTCCATCCCCTAAAAAAATAATTTAATAATACTTCTTTGTCAAATATTCAAACTCAAAAGCTAAGTCTACATAAACTGCAGGGGAGAGAAAACCTCCCCCATATGACTTATTCAAATCTTAGGTTACAGAGAACACTTCAGAAAGATAAAGCTGACACTGTACAGAATCCCACTCCATGTTGCCAGCCCATCACAAAAGGGCTACTCTATTTCTCTTCTACTTGCCATGTATTTCCAGTTCCTCCTCCAAGCCTCCTCCTCTCCAGATCCCATTCCCTGGCCCACTTTCACTGCGGGGGTGAAAGGTACCAGCAGCCATTCACCACACAGGGTAAGAACCAGATCAGAGAATATTAAAGAGAAACACTAGAAATTACCTAGTTAAAACCCTTACTTCACAAATGAGTAAACCTGTATCCAGAGCAGGCTCACAGCACATGAGTCAAGCCAGGACAAAACTTCCTGTCTACCGGCCGTCAGTCCAGTGCTTTCTGCTCGGTACTGTACGGTACTACAGGGTGTAGCCAGATGAGGAAGCCCTGGAAAGAGCTGGCGCCAGTGACAGCAGAAGGAAGGGAAGAGGCAGGCAATCTGCAAAGTCAGATAGATGTGCGTCCATCTGGAATGAAACGCAAACAGGAAAGGATCTCTCTCGCAACCTAAAATCTTCTAAATCATTTAAAATGTTATTTCTTTTCTTTTTATAAATTTATTTATTTAATTTATTTATTATTTTTGGCTGCGTTGGGCCTTCGTTGCTGCACGCAGGCTTTCTCTAGTTGTGGCGAGCGGGGGCTACTCTTCGTTGCAGTGCGCGGGCTTCTCATTGTGGTGGCCTCTCCTGTTGCAGAGCACAGGCTCTAGGCGCGCAGCCTTCAGTAGTTGTGGCACGCGGTCTTCAGTAGCTGTGGTGTGCGGGCTCTAGAGCGCAAGCTCAGTAGTTATGGCGCACGGGCCTAGTTGCTCCGCAGCATGTGGGATCTTCCCCGACCAGGGCTCGGACCCGTGTCCCCTGCATTGGCAGGCAGACTCTTAACCACTGCGCCACCAGGGAAGCCCTAAAATGTTATTTCATTCAAAAGAATACTGAGCAGATATTTAAGAGGAAAAAGAGAGAGAGAGAGAGAGAGAGCATGCTCTCTTATGTACTGGTACGGAAAGACTGCCAAGAAAAGTGAAAAAAGGATGTAAGGTACAGGCAGTACACACTGTCTGTGACCTTTTGTTAAAAAGGGAGGAGGGAATAAGAATGTAAATCTGAATGAAAATCTGAACACAAGAACGTAACAAATAATGGTCAAAGGGGTCAGGAAACTGGACAGATGAGGGACAAGTTTGGAGGAAGACTTTTACTTTTTATTTCGCGTACTTTTTGAACCATGAGTGTATGACCTAAATTTTAAAAATGCAAACAAACAAAAAGACTAATGTCTCTACTAGTTCACATATGAAATACTGTTGCCATTAAAGGAAACATGCTTTCAAAGAATAATTAATGCATGGAAAAATGTTCATGTTTTAATGCAAACAAAAAAAAATCAGAGAACAAACCTACAACAATAATACATAACAACAGAACTATGTAGTTTAATCTCCTTAACAATCTTAGGAGGTCTATAGCATCTATATGCCAATTTTTTTTTTTTTTTTTAAGATGTTGGGGGTAGGAGTTTATTAATTAATTTATTTATTTTTGCTGTGTCGGGTCTTCGTTTCTGTGCGAGGGCTTTCTCTAGTTGTGGCAAGCGGGGGCCATTCGTCATCACTGTGCGCGGGCCTCTCACTATCGCGGCCTCTCTTGTCGCGGAGCACAGGCTCCAGATGCGCAGGCTCAGTAGTTGTGGCTCACGGGCCCAGCCGCTCCGCGGCATGTGGGATCCTCCCAGACCAGGGCTCGAACCCATGTCCCCTGCATTAGCAGGCAGATTCTCAACCGCTGCGCCACCAGGGAAGCCCTATGCCAATTTTTTAGATGAAGCCTATAGAGCTTATAAGGCATTGGATCAAATCCGAGAGGTTGACTCCACAGCGATCCCAAATTTAAATGCATATACACATCGTGGGTATGTGTGTGCATGATCACACATGAGAAAAACTGAAGAACAATAAGAGAAAATGTTAAACAGTGGCTCTCTCTAGATGGTAGGATGCTAGGTAACTTTCATTTCCTCCTTTATCTTACTGTAAATTTTAATTTTTTTCTACTATATACACATTCTACCTTTATAATCTGTCAAAAACAAATTTTTGTTACAGTAAAACCAGGGAAATAAACATTCAAATGCCCAAATCTTCCATTACTTTGGATGGTAAGCTACCACTGACACAAAAAGCTAGAGGATTGTGTTGAAAATCAATCAAGAGCAGAGGCAGGACCAGAAGCCAAAGCCCTGGCACCTGGTCTATTTGCTTTCTTCTCTATCACCGTCCTCTCCTGGAGGAGTGGTTCTGACAGATGTGCTGAGCAGGATCTGTGGAAGTGATACCGCATCCGATGAGCTATAACATTCTTGCACAGATGTTCAGTCCAGTGGATGCCCTGGGATTTCCTCAACTTAGAGAAAGTGGAAGGGGGAAGCTTCCACTTCCCTTATCCAATTCATAATCTTCATGACAACAAATAAAAAGCAGGGAGAGAAATACTTAACACATGTTAAGCATTAATAATAATAATAAAGATATATTGATTTAATGCTTACTACCTTCTAGATACCTTCAATCAATCAGCAAATAATTTTTGAGCACCCACTATGTGCCAGGCATTGTGTTAGGCACAGTGAATAAGCCAGACAGGATCCCTATCCACACACATCAACTCATTTAACCAACCTTATAAACTATTTCTGTCTCCAGTTTATAGTTGAGGCAACCCAGGCTCAGAGAGGTTAAGTAACTGAATCAAGGTCACACGGTTAAATAGAAGGCAGAGACTAAATTTAAGTCAGAACCATTGGAACTCAAATCTATGCTCTTCTCCACTGCACACTGGAGCCAAAGCCACCACAACTGCAAAACCACGGCTTTCCCAGATCCTTCCACAATGTCAGCTCTTCAACATGGGGAGATGTTCAGTCACCAAGCCCTGTAGATGACACTGATGATGGCAGGGAGAACAAGGCCTTATACTTACTTTAACCTCCCCCAAGTCCCTTCACTTAATTCTCAAAGTCACCTTATGAGTCAGTGGGGCAGATACCATAATTCGTAGTTTACAAAACTGAGCAACAGAAGGAGAACATGATTGTGCTCAGTCACAAACGGAAATAATCACAGAACAAGGAGAAAAAACAAGCAACTGATTTTAGCTAGTACAGAATGGTGTGTTTGCTCTTGACCAAACATAGTAGGAATCCAGGACTCACCACTACCGTCCATGGAAACAGGAATGCATTGCCAAAAACAAAGTAGCCACAAAAATCAATGTTATTTGAGTGAAAGACTTCAATAAAATGAAAGGCTAGGGCTTCCCTGGTGGTGCAGTGGTTGAGAGTCCGCCTGCCGATGCGGGGGACACGGGTTCGTGCCCCGGTCCGGGAAGATCCCACATGCGGCGGAGCGGTTGGGCCCGTGAGCCATGGCCGCTGAGCCTGTGCGTCCGGAGCCTGTGCTCCGCAACGGGAGAGGCCACAGCAGTGAGAGGCCCGCGTGCCGAAAAAAACAAAAAAGAAAGGCTAGTGCTAAACCTGAGTCCTGATTTCTTTGTTTAAAAGAGAGGATGCACAACTATCAAGAGTTAGGACACGTTAGGGAGGAATAAGGGCAAAGTAGCACTAGGCTTCTTGAGGGTAATTAGAAGAAATGAATGAGAATGTAAAGGAGACTGCCCGCTTTGCTAGGTGATTAAATAAATGTTTTCTGATGCAAGCTCCACTCCAAACCGTGTCCGGTGTCACTGTGGGAGATTCTTCACCAAAGTACTGGGAGAGTTTACATAATGCTTGGCACGCAGTAAGCTCTAAGAAAGGATTAGGTATCACTGTCGTTTCCACCGTTTAGAGTAAGTGTTTCTTTCCACATCATTGTGATTGTTGTGACTGAACGGCAGAATACCCCGTCCCATACGACAGCCAACCTAGGCTCACCATAAGGGACCAAGGCCTGTCCCCGGTACTTCCCAGGAGAGGAAGAAACTGAGGCCCAGATCCACGCGGTGGCAAATGGCAACGCAGAGCCGGGTATCCTGGCCCAATTCGGCGCTGGCGCCTCGTCCTTTCTCCTCCTCAAGGCGGGGCTGGCCTCCCGCGGACGTCGTACGCCCCCGACCTCCCCGAAGCACTCACCTTCATGACTGCCAGGCCCGGAGGCCACCGGGGCTCGACTAGGGAGTCCATGGCCTCCCCTAAAGAAGGTGAAGGGTCCGCTACCCACTGGTCTCCAGCGCTCCGCTGCCACTCGAAATTCCCCGCGCTACAGAGCTACCTCAGCAGTCGGCGACGCGCCCGACGCGTGTGCGGAGCATGCTGGGAGTTGTAGGACGTGGCCGAAGCGCAACCGACGATGCTCTCTTTGCGCATGCGCCAGGCTTCCGCTACGCCTCCTTGCGAAGATGTGTGGTTAAAAAACCCACTTGCGGGTTTTGTACTGTACCATTAATAAGTGAATACCTGTTGAATGTTAGGAAAAGACAGCCTAAAATCAAACCAAATCCAGGCCTTGCCAAACCTTTCAAGGTCTGGGCTCCTGCCTTTTCCTTCCGGTCGCCCTCCCTGATCGCTATAATGAGCTCTCTGCTCAGAGCCGGGGTTTTCACATCCATTATTTCATCTCACCCCATCACAATACTGAGAGGTAAATATCATTATTCGTTTACACAAGAGAAAGCTTTGGCTCAAAAAAGTGAATAGAGTTTCTCTGAGTCACGCAATTTCTTTGACCAGACTACACATAGGGCCTCTGGCCTTAAAATAGGAGCTCTTTTATCAAATAGGATGGTTAATTTAATTTAATCATCTTAACTTTGGCGTGTAGCCTTCCAGATATTTCCTGTGCAGATACATAGATACAGGTTTTTTTGCCCACAAATGTTGATATATTAAATGCATACCTCTGTCAACTTGAGGTTTTCTGTTGGTTTATTTACATACATCCTGAGACCTCTCCATGTTAATACATATAGATTTACTTCGTTCCTTTTAATAGCTACATAGTCCATAATACAGATATACCACAATTTACTTATGTACACCCATACTGAGGACCATTTAGGTTGTTTCCAGTTTTTCATTATTGCAAACAGTTGCAATGAACACACTATCTATATAAATCTTGGCACACTTGAGCCAGAATATTTGGGGGATGATTTCCTATAAACGGAACTGCTAGGTGAATTTGTGTGCCCTTTAAACACTGTGATAGCTAGCACTATGTGATTTTCCAAAAGGGCTGTACCGATACATTTATACTCTCACCAAGTGAGTACGAGTGCCCATTACCCAGATGTGAAGCGTTGACCATCGCACCACTCAGTCTGTCTGCTCAACTCAGCACTCATCGATAGGCTGCCAGATGTGGGCCTCCTTCACATCAGGCCTCGTGGGCAGCAAGTCAGCAAAGAGCAAGTCAGTTACTCAGGGAAGACCCCTGCAGCTTGCCACTGCTTCCCCCTGTGGTCCATGTATTCATTCCTTCGTAATTTTTTTTTAAGTGCTTACCACTGGCCAGTCAGAGCTTCCCTGTGAAGCAGGCAGAAGTGAGGCTGCTATTGCCATTTTACAGATGAAGACAAGGAGGCTCAGAGAGGTTAAGGCTTCACTCCTTTGGGCTCTCTTCATAGGGAACTCTGGCCGCTGAGTCAGAGATATATTAAATTGATTTTTCCCAGCCTGTGCCCAAAGACTCATTGGGCAATAATGATATTAACATCATTTGGACAAAGGACTTTAATATCCATCACAGCAATAGCTGACATTTATCAGGCACTTTGTATGCAAAGCACTGTTCTAGATGTTTTTACGTATGTTGACTTATTTCAGACTCACTCCAACCAAATGAGGAAAGAGGAATAAATAGATAACTGGCATAGTGCGTTCTGCTAGTTAAGTGGAAGAGGAAGGATTTGACTTGGGCAGTCTGGCTTGCGTCCATATTAAGCACTACAGAATATTCTTATAAGGACCCCATCATGAGAATTATTCCCATTTTATAGATGTAGGAACTGAGTCTCAGAGAGGCAAAAGGACTCATTCAAGATCACACAGCTTGTCAGTGGCAAAGTCCGGTGTTGAATCTAGATCTTTTAACCCCAAACCAGAAGGGATCACCCACTGACATTTTATGGAGAAATAACTGAGTAGACAAGGCCGCAGGGCAGAGGTCTAAGGATCCCAGGATGCTAGACCTAGTGGGGCTCCAACAGGAAGGTGGGGAGTGGCAGGTTAGGGGAGGCAGTGGGTTTCTATCAGCCAATTAGAGAGGGGCATGTAAATGAACTCCAGGCTGCGCTGGATGTATTGGATCCAGGCTGTGCTGGATGCATTGCCTAGTCCTGGATGCAGGGAGATGGGGTAGGCTTGGGAAGACAAAGGAAATGAGACCAAGACCAGATCCCAAGCCTGAGTGCACCAGTAATTGTTCTTTTATGGTACTAGTTGGCTACAAGGTTTAAGGTGGCAAAGCGCTGGGGAGGTGAGAAAAGGATAGAGAGGAGATGAGAAAAGAGAAAAGGAATGGGGAAGGAAGGGGAGAGAGAGACAAGACAGGGAAAGAAATGCACGCTTCCTATTCAACTATGAAGACAGATTTGGAAGCAGGCATCACTCGTTGGCCTTGGGGTCCAAATCCATCTCCCCGTCTCTGGAGAGCCTCCAGGGCAGCACCCGGTACCATTCATCTCTGACTTCCTGCCACCAGCTGCTTGGTGGGACTGAATGAATGAGTGAATCTCCGGAATAAGCCCACATACCCATAAATCTCCACCCTGGCCAAGCAGTTCCCTTCCTGCCCTCTTCAATAGCACCCACTCAAGCCCACCTCTGGGCCAGGGAAGGAAAGTGCACACAAGGGCACAAGCAGGTTCTGAAAGCCACTTTGAGCTCAGGACAAAGCATCTGCCTTGCCCTCCCCACAGTATTTATCCACCCGCGGGAGCCAATCTCCTCTAACAAGCTGCTGGTTCCACAGACATTCTCCTTCCGTTAGATCAATAAAGAGATTGCACTTCCTTATTCAGGAGTAAAAACAAAACGTTCCGTACAGAAAAAGCCAGTGCTCAGTAGAATCTCTTGTTGCACTAGCGCAAAGAGAGGATCCGGGCTAGGGTGGCCAGATAAAATACAGGATGCCCAGCAAATTTGAATTTCAGATCAACAGCAAACAGTTTTTTAATATACGTATACCCTAAATATTGCACATGACATACTTAAACTAAAGATTTATTCACTGTGTATCTGAAATTCAAATTTAACTGAGCATCTTGTATTTTATTTGCCAAATCCGACAACCCTAATCAGGAGAACATTCTCCCAGCTGAGTGTGGGGCCTGGTCTGGCTGTACCTTGAGGGGTCCCAGGCCCCCGAGTTCCTTGCCGGGGTCTCTCATAATCACACTCCTCTTTGTCCTCCATTCTTCCTCCAGGACCCAGCCTCATTCTAGGCATGGGAGGGGAATATTGAAGGAGGCTTCATCCCTTCTTTCTTCCCTCTCTCCCTCCCTCTTTTCCTCCCTCAATTCTAACAAATGTTTATTGAGCCGGTACCCACCACTTACAGGTGCTGGAATTCAGAGGTGAACAAGAGTCGTGGTCCCTGATCTCAGGAGCTGACACCTTGGCAGAGGATGGGGCCAGGACAGAAACGAGGGAGAATGTAAGAAAAGGAGTAGATAAGCTCATTTAATAAAATGGGAAGTGATGTGAAAACAAGAGAGGATGGTGTGGTAGAGAGTGGGGAGACGCTATAAACTGGCTGATCTGGGAAGCTCTCTCTGAGAAGATGACATCTGTGCTAGGATACAACTGATAAGCTAGAGGCAGCCATGTAAAGACCGGGGCTGTGGAGAGTTCCAGGCCTTGAGAAAAGAGTTTGGTTTTAATCCATGTTAACTTGGACAAATTATTTAACCTCTCTGTGCCTCAGTTTTCTCCTCTGTAAAATGGGGTGATAATAGTAGTATTTGCTTTATAGGGATGTTGTGAGAATTAAATAAGTTATTGTAATTTAAGTGCCTAGAGCAGCACCTGGCACCTAATAAGCAAGTGCCGTGTGAGTGTCAGATGCCAGGGTTATTATGTTTCTATAACCCCCACGGTGAGCTCTTGGAGGGTTTTAGGCAGGGAAGTGACATGATCTGATTTACATTTTCAAAAGATTTACATTTTTAAAAGATTTAAAATCATTCACACTTTCATCTACGTTTCATTTCTAGCTGCTGGGTGATGAAAGGATTTTAGTGGGAAAAGCGTAGATGTACCCGTCAGGGGCTGTGACAGGGCTAGACCAACTGGCAGCAGTTGGAGGAGGTGAGGGTGCTTTGGGCTCTGTGCTTACTGGGTACTCTATCCCTATGACCAGGCCACCCTCTAACTTCTCCTAGATGTAGACCCTGCCTTGTTCTCACCAGCCACTCCCACCCTGGAGACCCAGCCCCAGGGCCGGCATGTGAACAAACCCTAAGAATCCTCCTGCATGTTGAGGGACAGTGGCCAAGTCATCATGGAGTCACCTGCCAGACATGTGGGTGAGGCCACCCCAGACCATCCAACCCCAGGCAAGCCACCTGCTTACCGCAAAGAGCAGCCCAGCCAGCCCTGCCCATAAAACTGCTCAATATATCCACAGGATTGTGGTAAATAAAAAATGTCTATTGTCTTAAGCCACTAAGTTTGGGGGTGTGTTTGTTACACAGCAGTGGCTAACTGCTATAGTGAGCAAAAACCAAAGTGACCCTCCCCAGGAGTCTTTTGCCTGCCTGGAGCCTGGCTTGGGAGACCCCAGGTACAGCCCCAGTGCTACTGGTCCCTCCTCTTTCCAGAGCCATCTCCTGCTCTCTTTGATCCCGATACTTATCTGCACTCTGCTTCCAATCTGGTGCTGGATTTTACAGGTGCCAGAGCAAGACAATTCTTCTATGCAACAATTCCTGTCTCCACAGGCTCCAAGCCATTCCTCCTATAAGGAGGCAGCCCTCTACCTGGAACTAATTCAGGGGTGTGTAGCTGAGTCCTGCGCCAGAAAATCTCCACCATCTGTCATGATGTCTGGAAACAGCCCCCGCCCCATTCAAGCTCCAATTCTTTGATTCTTAAAGGCTGTTTAGATTCCCAGAGCCCCCTTGGGAGCGTTGAGTGCCCTCTGGGGGTGCTGAAGCAGGTTGCCCCTCTCATGTTATAGCACAAATACACCACATGGCAATTACTTCATCTCCCCCACTAGACCAGCTGTGCCCCAGCCC